CACACACACACACACAGAGCTCACACCTGTATACAAAGAGCTCGCACCTGTGCACACAGAGTTCACACCTGTGCACACACAGAGTTCACACCTGTGCACATACATACACAGCTCACACCTGTGTACACACAGAGTGTTCACGCCTGTGTGCACACACACAGAGGTCACCTCTGCATACTCACAGAGTTCACACCTGTGCACACACACACACACAGAGCTCACCTGTGCACATCCCCCCCCCGTATACACACACCTGTACACACATACCTGTACACACACACGCGCGCTGTCTGCTCACATCTGCATACCCCCAGGATACCCCTCAGGGACAGCCCAGGCTCTGAGGGGCCCCAGGGGAGGCATAGGGGGATAATGGGGAAGGACAGGATCAGACCCCACTCCTTGGAGCACCCCCTCCTCACTGGTACCTGGTGCCACCAGCACCACTGGGGTCACGGTTGTCACAGGTGTCATGGGCATCAGGGTATCTTGGGTACCAGGAGTGTCTCCACAGGTATTGCATGTGGCTGGGCTGGGGTGGCCCCAGGGGTACCCCCAAGGTGCTGGGAGGGTCTTGGGGTGTCCCAGGGTTTCTGGGGGACCTACCTCTGGCTGAGAGCTTTTTGGTGTTGATGATCTTGGCGGCGTACTCATGGCCGGTGCAGAGCTTGACGCAGCGCCGGACCACCGAAAAAGCCCCCCTGGGGAGGGACAGGCTCAGTGCCCCCCAAAGCACCGTGGGAGGTGGGCAGGGGTTGGCTCCCACCCGTGACTCAGCACCCGAGGCCAGGGGCTGCACCCGACATGACTCAGCACCCGGGGGGTGAACCCCGACATGGGGGGGGGCCTGACACCACTGGGCCCCTGCCATGGGAGCGGTGAGGGAGTGCTGGGAGCGGCTGGGGAGGAGAGGCTGAAGGGGGCTCAGTGAGGGTCGGGGGGGGGTGGCATCATGCAGGGGGTCGCGGGAAGGATCCAGCACTGGCAGCTCGTTGCCATGGGGACAGTGGATGGCCCGGATGGTAGCAGTGGCAGCAGTGGTGGTGGCGGCAATGGTGATGGTGGTGGTGGTGGCACTGGGCACAGGACCCAGCTATGGGTAAGGGGAGCTGGCAGACACCAATACCCCGGGGACAGGGATGGGGATGGGGACACAGACTGGAAGGGGGACAGCGTGGCCATGCCCACACCAGGCAGCAGCATCCACAGCCCCTCCAAGTGCAAACAGCACCTCTACCCCTCCCATGTCACTGCCTGTCCCCTGCCTGACAGGGTCCTCTCCCCCAGGGGGCTCAGGGAAGCATCTGGGCCCACAGAGGGATCCCTACACCAGGCTGGGGACGCAGCTGAGCGCAGCAGCACCCTGGCCCTGCCATGGAAAGGGTCCTGTGGGGGACATGTGTGCCCTGGGAAGGGGGGGAGGGCCTGGCTGTCCCCTGCCACCACCCCATGTACCCATGTCCTGGTACACCGAGGGTCCTGTGCTGGCATGGACAGCCTCTCACCACCGGAGGAAAAGGGGGGATCACCAGGGCCTGGCATTTCTGTCCCCCTGTCCCCTCTCCATCTGGCCCCCAGGACAGGTGACACGGTGGGTGCCAACCCCTGGTTTTCCCCCTCAGCTTTCCCCCCAACCAGAGCAACGTCTCCCCAGTCCTGGCGGGGGGGGGGGGACGACGACACACACATGCGCGGTGGCTGGCGGGTGACACTGAGAGATGGGAGGGGGGGAACAGGACCGTATTGCCATGGCAACCAGGACGGGCTGGATTTTGGGCAGAGCGAGGGAACAGCCCCCGATGGCACCACATTCCCGCCCCGGCACCCCCAAAGGGACCACAGGCACCTCTGCAAAATATTTCCCCTATATGGGGACAGGGGGATGCACCCCTCCTCACATAGAGATTTGACCCTCCCCCACCCTGTTTTACTCCTCCCTGACCCCTGCCCATGGATCGGGGTGGGGGGATCTGAACCCCCCCATGGCCCTGGGGGCAAATGAGCCCTCCTCCCCAAAATCAGCTCCTCTTCAGCTCCCCACAACACCCACCACCGGGGGGGGTCATGATGCTGGGGGAGCGGTGGGGGTTGGAAGGATCCAAGGGGGCAGAGGGGGCCCGGAAGTCTTTAAGGCCCAGAGGGGCCAGGAGGGCTGGAGTCTTTAAGGACCCAGAGAGGGGAGCAGATTTGGGGAGTTATATAAGGCCCAAAGGGGTCTGGTCTAATGGGAGTTGGGAGAGGAGGACGGTTCCTAAGGAGCAGAAGGGAGAGGGATGGGGGGTCTATGGAGATGGGGGGGTGGAGTGACGGGGAGATCCATGGATGTGGGGGACAAGGGGGTCCTAAAGGAGGGGGTGCCTATAAAGACTCAAGGACAGTCTGGGGAAGGAGGGGTGTCTATCAGGAACAGGGGGGGCTGTGAGAATCAAGGAGGAGGGTGTCTACTGGAGGAGTCTGGAGGGTTTGGGAGGGCTGCAAGGACCACGGGGGCTATAAGGGCTGGGGGGGAATGGGGGTTGGTAGGGGCTTTGAGAGAGTCTGGAGAGACAGGGGATATGGAGTCATGGGGGGGTCCGTAAAGACTGGGGGGGGGAATATGTGGGGATGCGCCGGGGTTTGCGAGGATTGCGGGTCTAGAGGAGCAAGGTGGGGCTCTAAGGACTAGGGGGTCTGTAGGAGCCAGGGGCAGAACTGGGAGTGCTGGGGGATCTGTGAGAATTGAGGGGGTTAAAGTGTGATGCGGGGGGGTCTGTAAGGATGGAGGGTCTGTAGGGTCAAGGACAGCTATAAGGACTGGGGAGGTTCGGGGGGGGGTGTAGGGACAGGTGACTGGGGACTGGAGGGGATCTGGAGGGATTGGAGGGGGTCTGGAGTGAGCGGGGCTGGGCGAATGAGGACAGATCAGGGGAGTCTTGGAAGGATGGGGGTCCATACGGATGGGGGCATCCTTGGGGAAACAAAGGGGCTGCAGGGACTGGGGGGGGACTATAGGGATGCGGGGACCCAGAGGAGTTGAGGGGTCCGGGCTGCCGGAGTGCTGTTAAGGCCCTCGGAGGGGGGCGGTATAAGGGGGGGCCGGGGGGGGGTGGGGGGGGGGAGGGACGGCTAGGGGGGGGGGGGGGGGGGGGGGGGGGG